GCTGCTCTCCATCATTTACCAGCAGTCCTGGATCAACGGTGAGGTTCCAGATGACTGGAAGCTGGCCAGTGTGGTCATTGGCCAATGTGGTCATTGAATTCACATTCATAAAAAGGGTAGGAAGGAAGATCCTGGTAATTAAAGGCCAGTCAGCCTGACCTCAGTACCCAGTAAAGTAATGGAGCAGTTTATACTGAGTGTCATCACATAGCACCTAGAGGATGGCCGGGGATCAGACCCAGCCAGCATGGGTTCAGGAGGGGTAGGTCATATTTGACCTATATTTTATGACCAGGTGACCCACCTGGTGAATTCTGGAAAGGCTGTGGATGTGTCTGTTTGGACTTTAGCAAGGTCTTTGACGCTGTCTCCCACAGCACACTCCTGGAACAGCTGGCAGCCCATGGCTTGGACAGGAGCACTCTGTGCTGGGTTAGGAACTGGCTGGATGGCCCAGAGAGTGGTGGTGAATGGTGCTGCATCCAGCTGGGGGCCAGTCACCAGGGGTGTCCCTCAGGGGTCTGTGCTGGGGCCAGTCCTGTCCAGTATTTTTATTGGTGACATGGATGAGGGCATTGAGTCCTTCATTAGTAAATTTGCAGATGACACTAAGCTGGGAGTGTGTGTCAGTCTCTGCAGGAGGAGGAGGGCTCTGCAGAGAGACCTGGAATGGTTGGATGGATGGGCAGAGTCCAGTGGGATGAAGTTTAATAAGTCCAAGTGCTAGCTCCTGCATTTTGGCCACAATAACCCCGTGCAGGCTGGGGATGGTGTGGCTGGACAGTGCCCAGGCAGAAGGGGACCTGGGGGTACTGGTGACAGCCAGCTGGACATGAGCCAGCAGTGTGCCCTGGTGGCCAAGAAGGCCAATGGCCCCTGGATCAGGAATAGTGTGGCCAGCAGGAGCAGGGAGGTCATTCTCCCCCTGTACTGGGCACTGGTGAGGCCACACCTGGAGTGCTGTGTCCAGTTCTGGCCCCTCAGTTCAGGAAGGACATTGAGACACTTGAGCACATCCAGAGGAGGCAACGAGGCTGGTGAGGGGCTGGGAACACAAACCCTGTGAGGAAGGGCTGAGGGAGCTGGGGTTGTTTAGCCTGGAGAAAAGGAGACTCAGAGGAGACCTTACCACTCTCTACAGCTTCCTGAAAGGTGTTTGTAGGCAGGTGGGGGCTGGTCTCTTTCACCAGGCAGCAACTGACAGAACGAGAGGACACAGTCTCAAGCTGCACCAAGGGAAATATTGGTTGGATTTTAGGAAAAAGTTTTTTTATTGAAAGAGTGATAAAGTACTGGAATGGTCTATCTAGGGAGATGGTGGAGTCACCATCCCTGGATATGTTTAAAAAAAGACTGGATGTGGCACTTGGTGTCATGATCTAGTTGAGGTGTTAGGGCATGGGTTGGACTCGATGATCTTGATGGTCTCTTCCAACCTTGTGACTCTGTGATTCTGTAACAGTGAAAGTAGTAGTAGAAGATAAGCATGTCAGTACTTGTAGTTTCATTTTCTTTAAAAAAATCCCACTCTCTTAAGTCACTAGTGAGTTATTTCACACTCACCTTGTCGCTTCATTCATCCTGCTGTCTTTAGTGGCAGTCAAGAGGACATTAGATAATTACTAGTGAAAGCTGTTCCCATGCACAGTTAGTGGCACAGAAAAACTTTCACTGGGTGTAGGTGAATACTATTAGGGAAAAGATCAACCCTTGGAACTTGGAGCCATATGGATAAGAGAAAGATGATGATTGTGAGGGCTCATAAAAGGTATATTAGAAAACAACTGTGACAATAAAAACACTGTAATTGTATTTCTGGGGAGGGCTAGTATTATCATCACCATACTTTGCCATATTAATTTTTTTTTCCAAATAATTTACACAAGCAAGGAAGAAATTACTACTAATTTCTATTAATTACTACTCTGTAGGCTCTTACTACACAGAAATTAAACACAGACTGAAAAGCTAAAGCAAGAGCGCATTGGGCAAAAAAGTTTCAAAATTGACTTACTGACATACAGTCTTAAATTTTGGATGACTCAAAGGGGTTGAGTTTTTTTTCTGAAAAAGAACAAGAGAGCATAGAATATGTAACCTCTCCCACTTGAAGAGCTGAAGACTGGGATCTTAACATAGAATAAAACCTTTGGAAAGAACTCTCAGAAGGAATTGTCTTACCAATTAACTTATATTATCTGGTTCTCTGCTGTCAGTGAAGTCCAATAGAAAACATTGTTTGATCTCTCACAAAGATAAATTGGACTCTAAATTGTTAGGAGTATTGGGAATATAAGGTTTATGATCACAGAGCAAAAGAGGGTAGGAGGCACATAAGGACACATCTCTGAAGAAGACCTCTTGTCTTGAAAAAAATCAATAGGCAAAAGGGACAAAAGATGCAGTTCAATGAACTTAGGCTTCATGTGCTCTTCCAGAAGGTCAAATCCACATCAAACTGAAATCAGGTTTTCTTGCTGAAAGAATTGATATTTTTTTTCATCAGTTTCCATTTCCAAATAATATATGAACTACTCTACAAATTGAGTTTCTTATTGAACACTAAGTGTCTGCTTCCAGCAGCAGACCTCTGCATCACACAGCTCTCACAGAAAATATTTTAGAAAAATTATACTGTAATTGAAGTTTATGTTAGATAAACTAGTACATTAAAAAAAAATATAAAAATCTGCACCTAAAGGAGCATACAGGTTTATTTTTTCCCACCCTAACTGAAAAGAAGCAGTTTCTTTAAGTCCAAGTATATTCTTAACCTTTGATTACTCTACAAAATAAAAATAAAACAAACATTTTCTGTAATTTTCAAGCTGGTTAAATTTTGTTGTTAGCAAATTGCAAGCTGGGTAATTTTTCAGGAATGCTTTCTGGAAGCTGGTACTGCTTCTATGAGCATAATATTTATATGTGAGATCTGCAGAGTGAAGAAGAGAACAACATATTTAGGCATGCGAAGGCACAGCTATACTTTTCTCTCTTGTTTTAATTAAAAAATATATTTTTAATTTAAAAAAAGCTTTAAAAACCCCAGTTTTAGTCAGTTTATACTAAGCCTGTAGTTGCTAAGATTACAAATTGAATCAACAATTGCAAATTGTATCAACACTTTCTGTGAAAAAATCTGTCATTTTATGGTAATTAATAAATAATAAACCATAACGTGTTTGTTTAAAATAAAATTAACTAATACAGAAATGTTGCACAGTTTCTATATTAATAATAAAATAAAACTAATTTTACTATAATTATATTTAAAGTTCTCAATTGAAAACGTGCTTTTCAGTTTTGTCTATGAAGACCAGGGGGGCAAATACTAGGAATCTTGCAAATATAGAATGGATATTTGTGAAGCATTTGCAATACTCAACCTCTTTCAGTAAATGATACAAGGAAGTAATTATTTAATTACTTAATAAAATAACACCATTTTTCAATCCCATTTTTTAATACAGAAGTATCAATAAACATTTTTAGCTTCTTTGTTGCAATTCCTTATCTCTAAATTAAACTATCATTTCCTGAAAAAAAATTGTTTCCCCTTACTTTGCCACTAATGAATTCTTATCACCTGCTTCAGCAGCTAGAATTTTTTTCCTATCTAGAATACCTGTACTCAGACTGTTATTTGTGAACTGTTAATGATCTGTGACCTCCAAGCCTCAAAATTAAATGATCTGTGAGCAAAAGCCATTCTGGTCCAGAGAGTTGGAAAGCATACCAAGTCTTTTCTTAATAAGTATTGTGCAGAATGAAGAACCTCGAAAACACAGGAGTTTCAAAGATGCATATCTTAATTTTCCATTTTGAAGAAATAATCAGTTTTTCTTGTGGATTAGCATGACAATTCACTTTTTTTTATTGGAAATATTGTGCAATATTTTACTTCTTTTGGTTTTTTATATTTAGTGTATTTTCACTGAATTTGGTATAAGTCTGGCTTGGAGTGATTAATGAAGACTTTTATTAAAAGAACCAATTTGTTATTACTAGACTCAGTTTAAACTTCTGTACTGTAGGCAGGGCTAATTGGTAGGAATGTATTGTTATAAATAGAATAGAGGTTGACTCTCTGTTTCAACCATCAGCCATTGATAAGGAAATGTTTTAAATTACTTGGCCCCCATACTGCTTTGTACTCATTTTCTGGTGGTTTTAGGGGTTCAGCATTTCTATTTTCTTAACAGTTTTCATTTTTTCATTTGCTTTTTAACTAAAGCAAATTCTTGAACCTTAGCAATGATGATAAAAATATGGTTCTCTTTTGTGTCATCTTACACAGAATTATTGCATTTTTTAATATTCTAAACTGTGGCATTTTAAAAGAAAGATTCCTCTGAATGAAATGCTCTGTGCTTTTTAAAATTTGGTGGATGAACTCTCCACCAAACCATGTTTTTTAAGTGTCTGTGGAACCAATTTCATTATATGCTTCTCCTCTGATGAGCACTCATCAGAAGGAATTTTTTTCTCACAGTCCACTTAATAGTTGTTGATGCCCTTTCATTTAACAGTGTACTGAAATTATTTGTAAAAAATACTTGTTTATACTGAGCTATTTCTATACATAATAAAGATTAATATCAAAAGGTTATAATTTTGGGGGACTAATGTAAAATATGGCAAGTATTAAAAAAGTGTTCCATATATTTTAAAGGGATTAGTACTGTTATTAAATTATGGACTGTAAAAAGTGAAGATATAGGTCATACTTTAAGTTACTATAAATTGTTTTTTTCTTCAGTGTATCTATGTTTATTAGCATTTCTCAGTTATCTGCCCTACTGAACTTGTCCATTACAGAAGAAGACCTTATATAATCTACTAGCAAAAGAGCAGTTCTTGTGGGTGATAAAATAAACTTCTTGTGCTGGAAGCTGGCCATTCTGTCTCCACATACTTTGAAAACCATGATGATATACAGTCAGATATGTAAAAAATTTCAGTATTAAATGTATTAAATAATAACATATTTTTCACTGCAGGTGAAGTGTGATCAATACTGGCCAAGCAGAGGCACAGAAACTTATGGACTAATCCAAGTGACCCTTTCAGACACTGTTGAATTGGCAACATACTGTGTTCGTACGTTTGCACTTTACAAGGTATATATACTTGTATATACTTACTTTTAAATTGAAAGGCTGGTATGTTTTCCCTCCTCTCCAGTAGGAGATCCAATAGGATTCCTTCCTATCACCAACCTCCCTCCTGTCACCTTCTTTTCCTTCTTTCTTTTGTTTCCTGCCTTACCTGCATGCCTTTTTCCCTTACTTCCATATTCCCTTTCTCCCCTTCCTCTCATTTTACTTTTCTCCCTTGTTTCCTTCTAACAGCACTGAACACTGAGACTTCTACAGAGTACATTTTCCTGATAACATTAAGTTTTGTAAGTTAATGCAGAGGTCTCACCATGAAAAACCTGAATACTAAGTAAGTCTGTGGAACTTGTGAACTGTGGTGCACAAGTGTGCAGTACAGTTGAAGATCTTACATTGTTTGAATCTGTAATTTGGATTTTCCTCCATGGCCTGAGTTGTTTTTCTTGCTAACCCCGAATATTTAAATAATTTTCACTAGTGTATATGCTTCTGCAGTTGTTTCACTGAAAAGTGCTGATACGATCTCAGATAGCAGTTTTGTCATGAAATTTTTTTATTCCATAGAATGGCTCAAGTGAGAAGAGGGAAGTGAGACAATTCCAGTTCACTGCCTGGCCTGACCATGGTGTCCCAGAACACCCGACACCGTTCTTAGCTTTCCTGCGACGAGTCAAGACTTGCAACCCACCTGATGCTGGACCTATGGTTGTTCATTGCAGGTAAGCCCAGGAGTTTCTTCAAAGCATTTTATGGCAAGGTTACTGCTTTCTGTTTTGTTGCAGATGAAAGTATGATTTTCTTTCAAATAGACTGCTGAGTCTGTCAAAGAAAAAGGTGGCTTGCAAATCAAGGACCTGAGTATGTTACTGCCAACTTGGGTAGGCTAGAATTATTTTATTTGGTCTATGCACAATTAATTCAATTTTAGAATATCAAAAGATCTCCAGGGGAAATGTCCACAGGGAGAATACAAATGTATCGTAGCATTCAGAATGTGATGTAAAAAAGGAAGAGGATGGTTTTGGCTTAAGAGCCTGAAGTGTTGAAGAAAGCATGTTTTAAGAAATTAAACACTTTCTGAAATTACTACTTACATTGTGTGAGAAAGTAGCAAACATGAGAATTAAGAAAGACAAATTCAAGGTTTCATTGAAAATAGGTAAGATTCTGTATTCAAGTTTAAATCCTCAGCTTAGGACTTTGAGGAGCTGAAAATCAAAATATGTACCAGGGGAACAAGCTGAACCCAGTTCCAGGGAAATGAGTGCTCCATGCTTTTTTGCAAAGTAGCAAACCTCTTCCAGCATTATAAGGTATGAACTAATAAAACTGGAAGAAAAATGTCAGTTGCTCTTTGTGTTATGGGACTAAGGAAAATGAAGAGGAAGAGATACAGCTGCTTTGGAATTTGCTGAACAGATCTTTGAGAAAACCTTAAAATCGTGTTGATAAGGACATTATTAGAACATATGTACCTATTCTGACAGAAATAAGGTCCAAGATGGGTTCCCTCATTCTAGGGCTGTATAGTCATACATTGTATAGCTTGTTGTGTAACTTTTCAAAGCAAGTTCCTAAGATCACTGTTTCTTGTGAACTTGATTTTGGAATAGCTTCAGTTAGTCAGGCTGAGAGCTAGTACACATGGATTGCTGAAGTTAGAAATGCTTAGCATATCATACCTGAAAACTACTCTTGCTTTTGTCATCCAAAACCTGAGGAATAGTTATTACAGCATACCGCCATGTCTAGTTCTGACTTCTTAATATGTTGACAACCCAGCCATGGAATCTGATAATTTAAACACTTCCAAAGTGATTGAAAGAGGCTTCTGTAAACAAGATGGAAAAATAAATTCAACAGGAAATCAAAATGAGCAGAACTTAAATGCTGAAAGGCACAGACTGTTTACAAAATACCACAGAACATGGAACACAAATATTAAATGTTTGTTGAAACACCAGGATTAAAAATGTGGAATAATTATAAATAACAGCACAAATATATTCATAAAGTTTTCTGAGTATTTCTTGAATGGAGAAATGTCTTTTTGTACTTGCATTTACAGGGTTCTAAAACATTTTGATTATTGTCTAGGATTTTAAATTTCCTCAGATAAAACTTTATTCTCTTGATCCATATATAGCATATATAACATACCTCCAAAGCTGCTCAACAGTGAAGATGCTATGCTCAAAATCAAAATCAAACTTAATACAAGAAATGAATCTTCCCACTCTGGAAAATCTCTTAAGTTAATATAATAGCCTAAATTACCACAATGCAAAAATAGGCAAACTAAATCCTTTCTTATGGCTAGTCATTGGAAAATGTTAAATAAAATGCATTGCTTTTTATCATTCAGTGGTACTGATACAGTACAAGGCCATTATTTTCTCCTTGTCATTAGTTTTGCATGCAGATTTCATTGAAAATGGTGGTCATAATAGATAGTATGATTTTATGCTTGAGGGACATTTTTTATCCCAAATTCCTATTAATTTATTTATCAGTAATTTATCTACAATAAGCATAATCTGCTACTCATAAGCTTTTTGTCTTACGTATAGTTACTTGAGACAGTAAGATTTCATTCACTTCATACAACCTAACCTCTAAAAAACAGGCTTTCACATATCCTATTATTTTAGCAAGGCTTTTAAATTCTACTCCTAACCATTTGTCTATGAGCAGAATTAATGAAAACAAGTTTCTGAAAAATTAAAAAATGTATGTCTCCACAATTAAAACAGGCTGAACATTTAGCATCAAATGTTCTGGAAAGTCCGAAGTTTATGAATATGCTAATTACTCCTGAAGTTAATGTGTTGACTATCCAACAGTTAGACTCATAAGAAGTCACTAAAGTGTTTTTCATAATAATAATGTTTACATGAGTGTCATATTTCAGACATACTGTATCAACATTATATTCAGAGATTTGTATTGCCTTATCATTTTCAATTCAACATGATTTTCTTGGGGCTGTCTTGTCCAGGGCCAGGGGTCAGACTTCTTTGTGGGTCCCTTCCAACTCTGTTTGTTTTATGATTCTATGGTTATTATATTGGTTTAAAAAAGTCAAAAGAGGAACAACTATAGAGCATCACCACAGTGTTTTTAGGCTAAAGGATATCTCTTTCATACAGCAACATGAAAATTCTTTCGATTTGGTTTGACATTGAAGTACTGGACATGCATAAACATTTCATTTCAAGCTCATAAAAAAAAAACCCTAAAACAGTGACGTACAATCTGCACATTACCTGGCTTTTTAATTAGAATCTGCTTTACATTTTTTTTCCCTTCTCTTTTTTGTTATTCACTTCATAAGTTTCTCCATTACAATATTTCTGTTGCTTATTATAAGTAATTTAACACTTCCATAATTTTTTTTTTTTCTCTCCAAGTCTGGACTGATCCTTATTCTGTGGACCCCTCTAAGTATATTCTGGTTGTGTCCTTAAATTCCATTGTTTTCCCAAATTTGTTTCACTGTTTATATCACATTGCTGAATCATTTATTGAAATATATTCCTACCTTTCATGGTATTTTCTCTGAAAAAAGATTGTCATTCTAATGGTAATTGTCATTCTACTTTTTGCCAAGCATCTCCTTTTACTGCCCTCTACAAGTTGCTATTTCCCAGTGGGATATTTTTCTGTTCTTTACAAACTTACTGGTTTTCATTTGTTCCTCTCCTGTCCCCTAGTCTGTCTCTGCAGTCTTTCTAATATTCCTCTTGTCCTTGTTCTGTATCTTGTCTGTCACTGTCTTCCATTTTGTGTTCAGGGCTACCTAAATCCCTTTTCATTAAATTCCCCTATTTCATCATACAGATTTAAAAAAGTACTTAAGACTTTTCTAACTAGAGCCAAACAATATAATACAGAACCATATCTTATATCCTTTGCCTATGGTAGACAGTCTTTTCAACAATATCTCATTGAAGGAGTAATCTGAGTTTACTTTCTAGAAGGAACACAAGATTTATAGTGGCAATTTTAAGCCATCTGAGACATCACTAATACCTTTCTTTATATTTCTTCCAGTACCTACCAAACTATTATAGCTCAGGAAATTATAATAATCACGTTACAGAAGTATAAACAGAACGGGAGTTGCCTTTCAAAATGTATTTGATAAAAAGAGTAGGCTTGAAGAATCTTTGAAAGCCTTTTTCTGCAAACTTTTAAACCATAGAAACTAAAAAACAAAGCCATCAGACAACTGAGTACAGGGAGAAATTATTTCTCACCCTGTGCGGATGAGGAGTACAAGACCCAGCTGTCTGTGTTTTGATCCTTACAGAGTAACCCCCTATTTATTCTATATTTATAGGTAGGTATTGTAAGTGAATAGTTTAGCCCAGACATTTCCTTACTGTGTTTCTACCCATCTGCCTTAATACTGACCAGCAACTGTGTTTCAGTCCATTTCATGTTAAGGGATTAACTGGTTTTTTTAGTTTGCTCCATGGTTTTGGGATACAGCTAAATGTCCAATAGAAAATCAAGGTAACTGGAGACCCAGTTCACAAGTGGCCCCAGACCAGTTTGTATCAAAGCCTCATTTGTTGATAAGCTATTTTAATATTCTGTTCCTAGGAAACGGTTTTTGCATGTGTGAAGAATTTAATAATTACAATGTACTTAATGGGAAGAAGTCTGGGCTGGAAACACCTGACTACTGAAAAAACCCTGTAGATACTTGAATACCTTCTGTTCACATAGCAGTGACCAGAAAAAGGAAGCATAGTTCTATCTAATGAAATTAACTGAGAATGTCCATACTACCATTCTATATTACTGAACTGGACAAGTTCTGATAAATGAATGTCAAAGATATGCAAATGGAAATCTTTTTAATATATTTTTGTGTGATAATAGCAAAGAAATACAGAATTACATGATCAGAATTTTCAAAACATTGGTAATTATTTATTACTAATGTATATGCAACAGGCACTTTTGCATGTCATTTAGACACCTACTTTTGATAATGGTTTGATTGCCTGTGTAGAATTGAATTTGAATCTAATATAGAAGTCAAAAACATGTTGAGAATTTCATAAGGAAATTCTACCAGTCAAAGCTCTTACTTGTTGCTGTGATTTAACCTCAGCCAGCAGCCAAGCCCCACACAACTACTTCCATACCAGTGGGACTGGGGAGAGAATCAGAAGAGTAAAAGCTGGAAAACTCATCGATTGAGATAAAAGCAGTTTAATAGGGAAAGCAAATATTGCACACACAAGCAAAGCAAAACAAAGAATTCAGTCATTTATTCAATGATTATACATGAGCAGGCAGGTGTTCAGCCATCTTCAGGAGAGCAGGGCCCCATCAGACATAATGACAACTTGGGAAGTCAAGCATCATCGCTCTAAATGTCCCCCCTTCCTTCTTCTTCTCCCCATTTGATATATTAAGCATGATGCCATATAGTCTGGAATATCCTTTTTGGTCAGTTTGGGTTACCTGTGTCTCCTTCCAACCTTCCATGCACCCTCACCTTCCTTGAGCTGCACCACACTCTGAAAGAGAGGCAAGTCTGTGAAGGAAATAAGTTATATCCAGACCAAAATCAGCACTCTTGTGCAGAAAAGGTGGCAGGATTTTAAGTGGAAAAGGTAGCTAAAATATATTCACAGGTGTGTTAATTTTAACGGAAAAAAACCACAGATCATTGCTGAAAGAATTATGGAACACCAAGGGA